TCGCCTTGTACAAACGCAGTTTTAACATCCATTTGATGCAAATGTAATTCATATTGTGCACACAGAGCTAATAGTGTTCTTAATGACTCAAATCTTGCTACTGGAGCATATACTTCTTTATAATCTATACCGCTTTCCTGCTCACATCCTCGGACAACAAGTCTGGCTTTAAATATAATATCACCAAAATTATCTTTTATACAATAGACCCATCTGTTGCTTAAAACCTTTTTATCTTTTGGCCGATCTACTAATGTCCAGGTTTCATTTTGTTTCAATGAATTTAATTCTTCAATCATGGCTTTCTTCCATTTTTCACTATTACAACTTTGCAAAGCTTCATTAAATGTACTTGGAGTTTCAAATGATATATCTGATGTTAAATTTGCTTTTTCTGAATACGATTTCTTAGGTCTACCTCTCATTCCAGTTTTAATCAGTTTCGGTCTGCCTCTACCCTTTTTCTTTACAGATTTATCCAAAAAAACTCCATTTGTTTCTTCACTAGTTTCAACTTCAGACACTTCAGATTTTGAACAAGAATCATCATCTACCGTTTGAAACGAATCACTGCTTTCATTATTTATATTATTCGATGTAGATCCTTGTTGACTTACAATACCTTCATTTACTATTTCAGATTTCGTAACGTCATCAGGGTTTTCATTAGTTTCTTGTAATTTAGTTTCTTTAATTCGATCGTCGCATATATCAATAAGTTCAACTTTTCTTTCATGAAGAGCATTTTCATCATTAGTGGGATTAAACACATCTACAACTAAATAATTATTTGTATTTATTCTTTCAAAAAAACTTACATCTCTGCTTATAATAATATTTTGACTTCCATCCCACAAACGAAAAGCTTTTGAATTAATATCATAACCCACAAAAGTGTATTCTTCACCTTTAGGCTCCAATTTGGAAAAATTTTTGCCTTTACGAAGTGAAATAACTTTGCTACCAAAAGTTCTAAAATGATTTATTTCTAGTTTTCGTCCAGTCCATAACTCGTATGGTGTTAAGCTATCATTTGCGCTTGAAGGTGATCTATTGCGGACATAAGCAGCGGTGTTAATAGCTTCACCCCACAATGATATAGGAAGTCCTGAATCCAATAACATACAACGCGCCATCTCCATTAAAGTGCGATTTGCTCGCTCAGCGATACCATTCTGCTGGGGAGTATATGGTACTGAAAGTTCTCGTTTAATTCCATTTTGTTCTAAATATTCACTAAACTGTTTTGACAAATATTCCCGTCCGTTATCAGTTCTTAGGCATTTTATTTTTCTTCCGGTTTCTCGTTCTACATACTTTTGATAACTTTTAAACGCTTCAAAAACATCGCTTCTATTTTTCAAAAAAGCCACGTGAACATATCTTGACTTGCCGTCTATAAAAGTTACAAAATATTGTGCGCCTCCAACAGATTTGGTGCTTAACGGGCCACATATATCAGAATGTACAATTTCTAAGACTTGGGTTTGTTTTGTTTTTGAGTTTTGAAACGGCATTTGATGAATTTTTGATTTTTCACAAACAATGCATCTCAAACTTTCAAATTTTAAATCTTTTGGAACTGTATGTATTATATTTCTGTCTTTTAATTTACGTAAATCTCTAAAATTTAGATGACCGTAACGTTGATGCCATTTAATTATTTCATTGTTATTTTTATGATTCGAAATGAAAGAAAAATTATTTGCATTATTTTTTGTCTTCACTACATAAAGGTTACCTTCTCGTTTTGCTTTTACAACACACATATTATTGTCATTCATTATGTATGCATAATTTTTATTGAATACATATAGTTTTATAATTCTTTTCAGATGCTTCCGATACAGATATCAAATTATAATTTAAATTTGGCACGTATGATACATTTGTTAGAGTAATTTCAGCAGTGTTCTCATTATTTATTATATTAATTATTACATTACCTACTCCATATGATTTTAATTTATGACCACCAGCTGTTTCTATCATTGAAATTGATTTTGAAGCCCAACTTCTAAATAATTCTTTTCTATTACACATATGAGTAGTTGCACCGCTGTCTAAATACCATTGATGTAAATTTGCATAAACTTGACTATTTTTAGCACACAATACAGTAGTCATTACAGCGTTTGTTTTTGTCGTATCATCCTTCTTACAATCTTGTTTTTTTTTTTTTTGATAGCAATCACTTGATTTGTGTCCTCGTTTGCCGCAAAAATAACATGTTCCAGAAAAACGATTGGTTTGAGTATTATATTTGAAATTATAATTATTGCTATTATTAGAATACTGACTCTTAAAGTCTCTTTTAAAATTACCTTTTGTTACATTTTTCGATAAGAATATATTTTGCTTAAAGTTATCTTTTACATTAACAGAATTTTGTCTCCTATTTTCTTCCTCTAATAATTTAATTTTCAACACATTTGGTTCAGGAAGTTCATCTCTGCTTTCCATTGCAACAATAAAGTTTTCAAAATCATCCGGCAATGAATTTAATAACATAATTGAAACTAAATCTTTTGGTAATATAACGCCAATTTCCTCCATTTGATCCACTAAATTCAAGAAATGTGCTATATGCTCTGTCATACTTTGATCCAAATTTTTCTTCATCGAAAATAATTTTTTATATATCATCACCTTCTTTGCAGGTCCACGTGATGTATACAATTTTGCCAGAATATTCCATGCTTCATTTGAAGTTGTAGCCCTTTTGACATGTTGCAGTTGATTCTCTTTTAATGAAAGTAGCATCAATGCTAAAGCCTTTGCGTCTTTAGATTCCCATAATTTTCTTTCTACTTCAGCAGTAGGACACTTAATATCTCCATTTACATATTGCCAGAGATCGTTAAATACAAGTACACTCCTGGTTTGTAACCTCCACGATTCATAATTATCATTATTCAACTTCTCCACACAATTACTTGTAATATTCATTTTGATTAATTCAAAAATTTTTTTTTTTTTTTTTACTTTATAATAATATTAAATTATTCAGGCCAAATTATATTCAATTTTACTTTTTTAAAAAAAAAACATGTGCCTGGGCCCATAACCTGTTAAAGTTATGGAATAGCAACAAACAGGTTTTGATATTTTATAATATTTTATTAATAATACAACTGCTACCTTCAAAGGTTGATAAGAGAATGAATAAAAAGAACAATAAGAAATAATTCTTAATTAATAAATGACAGAAAGTACCTAATGTTCACAATCAATAATTCAATTCAAACATAAGTAAATTAATTTAAATTATAATATGAAAGTGAATTGCCAATATAAACTTGTAAATTTCAAACATACTTAAATCTCTAACATAGGTGTTATAATAATTTCTGAGTACTCTAATTTTTTACTATTTTTCAGTAATTGCCTATAATAAAATATAAATATACTGGGAAAAATATTCCAGAACTGAAATTTCTTATAATATGCTTGATTAATTTTAGCATGAAATATGCTTAACATTTATAACTTTCTAAATAAATAATAAATTTCTATTACTAGGGCGTTATTCCAGAAAATAAATTCTTTACAATTTCATTAATTATATAGCAAAATTCTATAATTATATAAAACTATAATATATAGCATGTACATGAACATAATAAATGTTCTGTTAAAAATACAAATTAAAAATTTAATTGCCAAAAAAAACTTCGTAAATCATTTCAGCTTCCAGCTGTTAGTGATGACGCTATTCAAAATTTTTGAAAGTATTTAAAAGCCCTAAAATTTAAAAAAAATTATTTAGTATTCACTGGTTTCTTTTACAAGTTTAATAATACAAAATCACCATTTAAGTGCAATAATATTGAAATAACCTTAATGTTGTCCTATACTTAGAAGATGTATTTTAACAACCAATTTGGGATTCTGGTTCTTCCAAAATTACATTTCTGTTATTATGTTTAAGTGCGAATTATATAATGTGTGCAATAAATAATAAAATATTATTTAAAAAAAATAAATAAATAATAAAACCAATTTTAACATTTTACTTAAAAGAAAAACAATCTAATTTTTTTTTTTGCAGAAAATATTTTTTAAAATATAAAATAATGGAAAATAATAATTCACCATCATTAATTGATTTAAATGATTATTGTTTATATAGAATATTAGATTATTCAAATTTTAAAGATCAAATAAAATTTTTAATTTTATGTAAAAGATTACAAAATATTTATTTTCAATATTTAAAAACAAATAAAAATATTACCATAGATTTATATAATGATTTAGATTGGCCATCATTAGATGAATTAAAATATGCTTTTAATATAATGGGACCAATTATTGAAGAATTTAAAATAAATTTAATTGGTAAAAATTTACATTGGTTTTATGAATGTTTTCAATATGTTTTAAATAATTGTTTACAATTAAAATGTTTAGAAATTGAAAATCGTTCAATAAAAACATATCAAGATTTAAGATTAAAAACACCAGATTTTCATAAATATATTGAATTAATTTCAAATAAATTATTAAATTTAAAATATTTAAAAATAAATGATTTACAATTATTAGATTCAGATATTGAAATATTATCAAAATCAAAATTAAAATTAAAATTAGAATATTTAGATATATCAAATCATAAAGAAATAACTGGAAAATATTTAGAAAATTTTATAAATCTTAAAACATTAAAATTAGCAAAATGTTGTGATTACAGTTGTAAAAATTTAATAAATGTTTTTCAAAATTTAAAACAATTAAAACATTTAGATTTAGAATTTTGTTATCAATTAAATGATTATCAAATTGGTGAAATAATAAATAATTGTAAAGAATTAGAAATATTAAAAATAAATATTAATTTTATTGGTGGTTATCAAAATTTACAAAATTTATATAAATTAGAAAATTTAAAAAATTTAACAGTTATTGAAACAGTACGTGGTGGTATATTAACTGAAATCATAAGATTTCGTAAAATATTTGATGAAATTTTAAAAAAATTATCAAAACAATTAATACAATTTAAAACATATTTTCCACAATATGATAATGATAAAGGTTTAAAATCATACAAAAGATTTGATGCATTAAAAAATTTTCAAAAATTAAATTTATTACATCTTGATGGTTATATTCAATGTGAAGATAAATTTTGGCAATCACTTGAAATTCTTATATTAAAAACTGATATAAAAATATTAAATATAACTTATACAAATAATATAAAAAATTTTACAATAAAAGAATTTGTACAATTTTTAATGAGATTAAATAAGAAAAGAAAAACATTAAAAATTAATTTAGAAATTAAAGAAGAAATTATTATATCGAAGAATTTTTTGAAAAGAATGATTGAACAAATTAATTTGTATAAAGATTATGATTTAGATTTTAAACAAGACAATTATTTTACTCTATGGGCTGTTGTTGAACGTCAACATGAAAATGACATAAAAAATGTAAGTTAAATTATTCAAATTTAACATTAATTTTAAGTTTTGTAAAATAATTCCTTAAATTTTTAAAATATTCATTGAAAATTTTGAAAATTATTTGAAAATTATTTTAAAAAATAATATACTTTTCTTTTTAGGAGAAAATTTTTAATGAAGCACTAAAAATCTTTAATATTATATTGGAAGAAAATTATTTTGAATATTATAATAGTAAAAAATATCATGATAATGAAATTTATTTAACTGATTTAAATCCATTACTAATAAATAGAAGACAAAGTATTCCAGAAAGAAATCAAGAATTATTAGAAGTTCAACAATATAATATGGATTCAACATCACCAACTCCAGTACGAAGGTTTATGGCAGAAAATGAAAATTATAATCAAAATAATTTAAATGATTACACAAATGAAAATTTATTAATTGATAATGAACATTATTCACCAGAAGCTTTTGAAAGAAGAAAATCACTAGGAAAAGCTCAAATAATATTTAGTTCAGATGTGGATATAAAAATTTCTAAAATAAAAAAAAGATTACAAAAATGTAATTCATTAAACTAAAATGAATAAATAATATTCAAGATTTCAATTATTAATGAAAATTACTCGAAAAATATATTGTATATATTAAAATTTTTAAAGTTTTAATTATGAAGTTTATTCCAAAAAATAAAATTTATTTAAAAGAAAAACTAGTGTTCATATTTTTCTAATCAGATTCAGACAGAATATTTAGGAACAAGAAATTTATAATTAATAATAACAAATCTTTCTATTTCATTTAATAAATTATAATTAATGTGCAAATTCAAAAATGATAAATTTTCTAAATTTTATATTTTTTTCTTTTCTTTATAATTTTAGAAAAATGGAAACCAATCTGAAAAATGAAATAAATCATATATATAAATATAATATAGAAGAATTAAATGATGACTGTTTAATAAGTATCTTTAAATTTTTATCTTTTCAAGAAATAATAAATATGGCTCGTGCTAGTTATATATTTTCAAAAGTTTTACCATTATTTTTTCAAATACGAAAAAGATTTACAATTAATTTCCAATCTGAATTATGGACATTATATGAAATTGAAAGAACATTTTTAATTTGTGGTAATGAAATTCAAAAATTAAAAATTGTTGATGGTCTTACAGATTTTGATGATATAATTGATATAATTTTAAATACATGTTATAATCTTACAATATTACATATTAATAATATACCGCGATTAAATAGTCGTTTTAATAATTTTGAATTAATTGGTTATAAACTTTTTAATTTACAAAGTATTGAATTAATTAATTGTAATTTAATTGATAATGATTTAAAATTAATATCAATATTAAATAATTTAATTTCAATTAATTTTACAAAAAATGAACATATAACTGGTAAATATTTCGATAAATTTAATAAATTAGAAATATTAATATTAAATCAATGTAAAAATTTTAAAATAAAATTTTTTTTAAAAATATTTCAATTAAATAAAAATTTAAAATATTTAGATATATTAGGTTGTAGAAAATTTAATAATATTTGTGCTAAAGAATTAATTAAAAATTGTAAAAATCTTAAAAATTTAAGAATATATTTTATTTGTAATTTTGATAATAAGAAAAAATTTCATGGTTTTGAAGAAATTGGTAATTTAAGTAATTTAAAAAATTTTACATTTTGGGAAAATATTTTATCACCACGTAATAGCACATCAATTGATAAATATCGCTCTTTAATTGGTAATATGTTTTTACAATTAAGTGATAAACTTGAAATATTATCAATTAATTTTCATCCATATCAAACAAGAAATTTAATATTTGATAAATTTTTATTAATTTCAAAAATGAAAAATTTAAAAATTTTAAATTTAATTGGTTTTATTAATTCTAAAAATATATTTTGGAATTTTTTAGATATATTAGATAAAAATAGTAAATTTGAAGTATTAAATATTATTAATCATGATATTAAATTTGCATTTAATTCAGAATCAATTGTTAATTTCATTAGAAATTCAAATAATATTAGTAAAATAAATTTAGAACATAGATTTCCATTATATAAGTCGCATGAAGAGATTATTGGATTTCTTGAAAAAATTTATGATTTAGAAATTTATAAACCATTTATAACACTTTCAATTCAAGTTGATAAGGATTCAGCCGAGAAAATATTTCAAAATAGTTTTTATTTAACTTCTAAAAAATTTATAATGATAAAAATAGATGTTTATCAGGAAAATGTTACACATGATTTGTGTTCTGCGAATAAAATTGAATTGATTATGCATTAATTGTATTTTTAAAAATAAAATTTATATTTCATTTATTTAATTTTTATTATGGATTTTCTTTTTTTTTTTAAAAAATCAACTTATTTTTTTCTTTTTAAATGGTTGTTCACTAAAATCAGCTTCAAATATGTTATCCATTTCCATATCTTCATTTTCACTACTATCATTTTCTTCAATATCTTTAAGTTTAGCTATGGTGTTGGTTTTGCCTAATCTTCTTCCTTCTACAATAAAAAATATAATTATTAAGAGAAAACAAAACTTTTATACGAAAATTATACCAGCTTTCAAAAATAACATCCTACACAAACTTGATATAGAACTTTTACCTTGTTCTTCTGATAAACCAAAGATTAAAGCTCTGAAATTTAAAAATTTATTGTTGAATTTGATCATTCATATTCAAATAAATTTCTATTGTATGTAGTTACTCTACTCACAAGTTAGCGATATCATAAGGACCTCGCAATTCAAAAACACTTTTTGCACCACTAGATATAATTATATTTTTTGATTTCCCTTTAACATGATAATTATGAGCAATTTTAATTATATCTTTTCTATATGTCGAATTTTGAATTGCATCCGAATACTTAATTTCAATAAACATTCCACGTGCAACAGCTACTTGATAAGGTTTTCTTTGAATAAATAAATTTGATGCATCTGGATTAAAACATATTAAGTCACCAGCAAAACTTGTGTAACAATGCTGAAAGCTTTTTAATTAAATGTTTTATATAAAAATAAAAATTTTGAAATATTTAATTTACATTTAAGGCGTTGTCATTTTTTGGTAATCCTGCTATTAGATCATATTTTTTAAGATTTAATGAATTACTCTAAAATAAAAAATATTAAAATAAAATGTATACTGGAAATCAGAGGATATAAACCATTGGATGTGAGATATTAACATCGGAATATATTATTGTTAAACGTCTTAAAATTCTTAGTCTGCCATTAAACTCTTCCAGAAAATCTAATTCTACCGGTGATGGAAATATGTCGCTAGATTTTTTATTTTCTTTCTGGCTATGATCATAAATTTCTTCTATTGCAACCGTTCTGTATCCTAATTTTAATGCCTCTTTTAAAATTGATATTAATTTAATTTTATCATTTTGAAGAGGAATACAAAAATCGTAAAATGCTCTTGTAAGGTCCATTAAGAATTCAAAACAATATTGCAGGCGGAACTAAAAGACTTTGTTATTAAATTTTAAATTTTACATCCACATGTCAAAATGCCATTTACGTTGCTATTTGTACCTCATGTATTTGGTATGTCAAAGTGCTGTCAAATTAAATTTATTTACTTTAAAAAATCTGACGGGTCAGTGCGTACATAAACAGAAATATAAATCCAAGGAATCGTTTAAGTTTTAATTTTTAATATTATCTTCTTAAAGTTCGAAAAAAACAATGTCTGAAAGAAAAGTTTTAAATGTGAGTATTTTAAATAAATATCGAAAATATTTTCCATGTATAATTTAATTGGTTTTCCACAATTATTTTTAGAAATACTATCCACCGGATTTCGATCCCTCAAAAATTCCGCGTATGAAATTGGCGAAAAATCGCCAATACACTGTACGTTTGATGGCTCCATTTAATATGCGATGTAAAACTTGTGGGGAATATATCTACAAAGGAAAAAAATTTAATGCGAGAAAAGAAGATGTAGAGAATGAAACTTATTTGGGCATAAGGATATATAGATTTTATATAAAATGTACACGATGTTTACAGGAAATATCCTTTAAAACAGATCCTAAAAATACAGATTACGAAATAGAAGCTGGTGCAACACGTAATTTTATGGCTTTAAAATTAGCAGAAGAGCAAGCTCGAAGGGAAGATGAAGAATTGAAGGAAGAAGAAGCAAATAACCCTATGAAACTTTTGGAAAATCGTACAGAGCAATCAAAAAATGAGATTGAGCTTTTAGAGTCATTAGAAGAACTTAAAGATTTGAATAGACGTCATCAAAATGTTGATTATGAAACAATGTTACAAGCATATGATAATACCGAGACACTTAAACAAATCTTAGAGAGGCAGGAAAAGGAAGATGAAGAGATGATTAAGTAATTTCAATCTATATGGTTAATCATTTAAATATGTTTTTAAGTTATATTTTATTTTAGGTCTGTTAAATTTAAGCGTCCTTCTGCATCTTCCACAACTAAAATTATTGCAGAAGAGCATATATTAGATGAAAATTATGAAAGTTTTGAACCTTCTGAAAAAAAGGCGAAATTATCGACTATTGCACCATCTTCTACGGAGACTTTAAAAAGTGTTGGTGGTTTTTCAAGCAAAAATCTGCTTAAGAATATCGTCAGAAAACCTTCAGTCGTTAATAACACAGAAAAATCGTTACCAGTTTCTAAAGAAAAAGTTGAAACTGAAAAATCGGACAACGCCACGAAACCTAAAACAACTGGCCTATCACTTATATCAGCATACTCTGACTCAGATAGCAGTAGCTCTAGTTAGTAGTTTCATTTTCTATTTTTAAAGTGTTACAGTAATTGGAATAATTACTAATTTAATACTGTTGTTTATATAATAAATTTAGCATACATATTTTAAAATTCTATTCGTATGATCTAGTCTAGTAGAATTTATAATCAATAAGAAAACTATTCAGTTAACTATTCGTATTTGCGCTTTTAGTAAAACCAATATAATATGAATTAGGTACTTTTTATTTCCAGCAAAAGTATTTTTGAAATGCTTTAAAATAGTCTAAATTTTTATCCCTTTTACATATTTAGCTTTATAAATTATTTTTTTTAAAAATTAATGAACAGTAAATTTATAACTTGTCTATATTTATGTAATAACGGTGGGTGCATTACGGCCGGTATATTTTGGCAGTTGAGATATTTCAAGAGCAATATCAATTAGCGGTTTTAACATTTCACTTGCTTTACCCAAAACATTGTCTTTTTCATAGGAATCAATATATAATCGGACTGTAGCGCCAGAACTGCCGGTGCCACTCAAACGCATTACAATGCGGCTTCCATCTTCAAATACAATTCTCAAACCTTGTTTTGTAGAAACCGTATTTACAACTGGATCGGTATAACTAAAGTTATCAGCAACTTTTACTTTATAAGTTTTTCCACCACTTGAATATTCCTTCCCTACAAATTCACTGCTAGTTATTAATTTTTCCATAGTTGCCATCATTTCATTGCATGGATCTAAATCACATTCCTCATAATCATAACGAGTGAAGTAATTGCGCCCATATGCCGCCCAATGAGCTTTTAATATATCTTCTATACTCTTTCCTGTGTGCTGCATAATTGAAAGCCATGCCAATACAGCCCAAATACCATCTTTTTCACGAATATGGTTAGAGCCAGTTCCAAAACTTTCTTCACCGCATAAACACAAACGATTTGCATCCATTAAATTTCCGAAATATTTCCAACCAGTTGGTACTTCAAAAATTTCTTTGCCTAATTTTTTGGCAACCAAATCTACAGCAGAAGCAGTTGGCATACTACGTGCATATCCAGTAATACCATTTTTTTTGAAATATGGTATACATTCCAAATAATGAGCAATTACAGCCAAAGAATCGCTTGGAGTTACAAAGAATGCACTGCGTCCAATAATCATATTACGATCCTATTATATAAATATAAATTATATTTTTTACTACAGAAAACTTAATAACAATAAAAACTTACGCCATCTCCATCAAAAGCGGCTCCAATATCATAATCACCTTTTGCTACAGTATCTACTAAATCTTTAGCATAAGTTAAATTTGGATCTGGATGTAAGCCACCAAAATCAGATAACGGTGTAGTATGAACAACAAAATCTTTAGATGCTCCCAAACAATTAACAAATATATCATTGACATATGGACCTGTTACACCATTCATTGAATCAATTCGCATCTTTAAGGGTTTTCCATTTGATGCTCCGCTAACAAAATCTTTTAATTTTGCAAAATCAAATATTTCCTTCATATGATTAACATAATTTGCCACCGAATCAATTACTTCTACAACAAATGGTTTTCCTTCAACTTCAAAATTATTCACACCTAGTTTACCTAGGTCTATTGTTAAACCATCAACTATTTTATATTCTTTTATTTGCGTTGATAATTTATAAATTTCATTAGTAACTTCATCGGGTGCTGGACCACCATTTCTACAATTAAACTTAATGCCGAAATCATTATCTGGACCACCCGGATTATGTGAAGCTGTTAACACAATCCCACCTACATACATAGTATATTTGTAATAAGAATATAGCAAGAGTTATATTTTTGAATCTAGTAAGAATTAAAATTAATTAAACCTACCTAAAGCATTATTGTGCCTTATCAAACTGGACACGGCTGGCGTTGACAAAATACCATTTTGTCCAACTAAAACTTTTGAAACCTTAAAAAAAATTATTTTTTAATTTTATTATGATACAATTAACGCAATTAAAAGCAATTAAAATATTAAATTTTAAAAAAGCAATTAAAATATTTGGCTCCTACATCTTTATCTTTCACTATACACATAGGCATATATGTATATACCTATGATGTGATTATTAATATATTAAAATACATAAGTATATACGTATATGAATATATAAATATCCGCGTTTATCGATAAATTCACTAATGTGTAATATGAGAATTGCATATCTGGTAGGTGGTTTATTAAGTAAGTCATGGTAATTATAATAGTTAAAAGCCTAAGGTGTTTTCGGAGTTATCTCAATTACTGTGACTAAAAATTTAATTTTAAGTTATTAATTATCAAGGTTTATTATATAATGAATGATATCAACTTTTCTTTAATTTTCAATGTCTCGATTCAAGATTAATTTAAAAATTGCTTTTGATTATATTCAAAGACCTGAGTATGAATTCAATTAACTAAAAATTATCAAAAATTAAATTTGAAAAATATTAGGTAGGATAGGATTAATTATAGTTACCCCATTGGCAGCGCAAATTTTCACAATTAATTCAGATGCTTCTTTACAATAAAAGCGTCCATCACCGCCAAGAACCAATAAGGAACCAGAAATTTCACTTCCATTCGCATTTAAGATACATTGAACAAAGTTTTCGGTATAATTTTTTTCCAAAAATACTTTTACCTTAATATAATGAATACAAATTTATAAATAAATATTAAATTTTTTTATTTATTATATGAAAAATTTTTTTTTTTACTTTTTTACGAAGACCACTTGTACCAGGTTTTTGTCCCTCAAAAGGTGTTGTTTGTACAGTTTTGACTGTTATTGCCATTTTAATTGAAAATTAATATTGAAAAAATTTTCGCTCTCAATAAAATATTAAAATTTAATAATACAATCAACAACTTTTCACCTCGACGACCAACCGCTATCAGCTACAAATTTCCTTTTTCTATCTCTATACTTTTCTAAAATAACCACTCAATGTCATGATAAGGTCATCCACTTCTAGAATCATTCTCTTTTATACTATTTTTTGTTTACATTTTTTTTTACACACAAACATATTGTCTTGGCTACTGTCAAACTTTACAGTACAAAATAAATTTGTAATGCACTTTTAATGATTGTTTACAAATAATTATGAGAATTTTATCTATTCTTAGAATTTTATCAAATTTAATTATTGCTTTTAATTATGTAAATTGATAACAAGTTAAAATCAAATATAAAAACTAATATAAAAATATTCAATAATTTATTTTAATAGAATGAATTTTTAAACAATAAAACAGGTGTCTTAAGTTAAATTTCTTCAATAGATTCCTGTATGGAAATAGATTACTAAGTTATTATTAATATAAAATTAAAGCTTTTATATTCTGTTGTTAGTATAACTTAAAAACTGCATTTCTCAATTAAATAATCAATTAACATCCTATGATCCAGTGTTATCCATATGCAATTTGAAAGTTCATTTAAGGCAACTAACATACATTCCATATTATTTTCAGACCAAGATAATACTAAATTCTTCATTATTTTATATATTTTATCTGGAATATTCAAATATGTTTGCTGATCTAATGTATTAATTGAAACAAATTTTTCTAATATTTTAATATGTGATGGTGATTGCCTAGCAGGTGGTAAATTTAATATAATTAATAATAATAATCGTGAAACTTCAATACGTGACAAAAGTTCTTCATATAAATGCTCCTTTTTCCGTTCATTTATATTATCAAATATATCTGTTAATTTTTCTAATGCTAATAAATAATTATAATTCTTAATACATTCTGATGCAGATGTTTCTAAATCATGAAATCTATGACATGGTGATGAAAAATTACTTATATCTTCATATGTTGGAAATAGTGTTTTCATTTCACGAATTATTGCTGCTTTCATTACTGAATTTTCACTTAATTTAGCTAATGCATTATTGTAAGATTTCATTGCACCCTTAAAAAAAAAAATTAAATAAAATTAATTAACAAATTTAATTTGCATAATATTAATAAAATCTTTTACTTCTAGGTATTCATTTTGATTAGATTTGAGTTCCAAACTTTTTTCTTCTTCATTTGCTTTTACAAATGCTCTGGCGGATTTTAAATAATAATCAATCTCGCATACATCATTTGCTAAAGATTTCTGACATTTTGCAGCCCCAAGGAAACACATCCCAGAATATTGATATAAACCACATTCTTCAAATTTTATAGCCAAACTATGAAATTCTTCTGAGACTTCTGCGACATTTGGTGCTAAACGTTTAAATATTACTCTATCAAATTTTTTTACTTTATTTGATGTTGTCAAATATTCTTGTATTAGATTCTGAATATGATTTCTTTCCATTTTTATTTAATATATAAATTTATAATCAATATTATTTTAGTATCCACTTATGTACACTTTTTTGTGATTTAATTATTTATTTTGATTTTCGTTCTCCTTTGTTTGACAAAGCGTATTGTTACTATTTTGTTTATTTGCAAGGCGATAGCTCAAGCCCTCTTACGGACAAAAAAGTAGTATTAATTAATTTCATTTCACTATTTCTATTTTGACGTTATTGTTGCCTGTGTTATTACCATTCATTAATTAAATTGATTTTCAGAGAAATAAAAAGTTTTAAAATAAATTTCAGTTCTTTCGTTTACAACTTACATGTCAATATAAACCATTTTCATAAATTAAAAATCATGACTACGATTCTATAACATTAATTGCTTAAAAACTTATCTTGGTGTTTTTAGCGCAATTTTAATATAGCTTACGGTGAATTTAGTTCGAACTAAAGAGTTATGTTAAACTTAAAATAACTTAAGCCAAAAAAGCAAAGATTGAAACGTATTTGTCAGATAGTGCTTGACATGAATTTCGGCGATCATCGCTTATGCATCATAAAATTAATTAAAGTAAAAAAGTATCAAGTTCTATCATAATAACGTGTACTCGTATCTACAGTGTTAAATTCCATGTTTTTTCAGGCGTTGTCTTGATTTTTCCAATTTTTACGTTTTTTTTTGTGACAAAAATTTTAATGAGATTTGTACATTGGTAAACTTTCAAAAATACTGTGACAGTTTTCTAGTGTGTTAAAAATACTGTGACAGTCTACTGTGAATTGACAATTGGCTTAAATAAAAATTGCAAAGCAAATAGTAGATAACGTGTTGGATTTAAAAATTCCGGACTTTAAGTTTTTTTGTTAAATATTTGCTATTAAAATGGAAGATTGGTTAAAAACTCGTTTATCAAAATGTTTAAACTTTGAGATCCCAGAGGATATGATACGGTAAATTGATGAGCTTTCAGAACATAATAATTTTATGATCTAAAAATATTTTAGATATATTTTGTCATTGAAAACAACAGATGAAGTGGATGAATATTTCGAAACGTTACTCAATTATGATGTGGAAGATCACAAAATTTTTTTAAATGATTTCAAGCAAAGAAAATTTACTAATAAAACAAAAAATCCCAAGTCAAATTTTAACAAATCAGTGAGCAAAACATCAAACAAAGATGATAAAAAAAGTGATTTTCAAAAGGTTTCAAAATTAATCTAGAAATTATGTTTTTCAAAAAATTTTTATAACATCCCCTTTTTTTTTTCTAATAGGATAATATTGCTCTTAGCAAGAAAAAAACAAAATATACAAATTTATATAATCAAGACGGTCAAGTTACTACAACGTTAATTCCTGGCCGACATCATTGTGATTGTCAAGCAAGCAAACATAAATTAATTAATAATTGCGGAAGATGTGGTAGAATAGTGTGCTTTCAAGAGGGAAGCGGTCCTTGTTTATTTTGTGGAAATTTGGTTTGTTCAGAAGAAGAATTAAAACTAATTAAAACTTCTTCAAAAAAGGGAGATAACTTGAAAAAAAGTTTAATAGAACAAAATCGTCCAAAAGGTTGGGAAGAAGCATTAGCTCAAAGAAATCGTTTATTAGAATATGATAGAACAAGTGAAAAACGTACTACAGTTATAGATGATGAATCAGATTATTTTAAGGTAGGTAATCTATCTACATAGATAATTTTAAAATTTTATAAAAGTTTTACTTCACAGACAAACTCCGTTTGGCTTTCTGAGTCTGAGAAAAAAAAACTCGCCCGATTAGAAGAAGAAATGCGAGCTAAAAAACATGCAAGTCGACTTTCAAAAAAAATTACAATAGATTTTGCTGGGAGAGAAATAATTGAAGAACCAACCATTACTACAGAATATGAGGATGAAGTATTAAAACAAATAGCTAAATCTTGTGGGAATGATCCATATTCAAATGTATCAAATAAAAAATATAAAAATGAAGACATGTCACATGATGTACATCCGTTTTTAAATGCTCCACTTCCTATATATGTTCCCACAAATAATTCTAAAAGTTTAGAAAAAGACACGGAAAGAACTTATGGTTTTGATGGAGTTTACAATCGAGTCCAAGATAAAGAGCTATTAGAAATACAAGATATGAGAAACTGCCTTTCAATGCATCAACCATGGGCAAGTCTTCTTGTAATGGGCATAAAAAAGTTTGTTATTTTTTAAATATTTTAAGTTTATCATTACTTTGCATAAAACAAATTATTTTTAGGCATGAAGGTAGACCCTGGTATACATCTCATAGAGGACGTTTATGGATTGCTTCAACAGCAAAACAAGTAGATATTGAAGAAGTAAAACGTATGGAACATTTTTATAGAGTAATTTATAATGGTAAACTATGTTATAATACCATTAGTTTTTAATTTTTTTAACTTATTACGTATAATTTAGATGACAATATAATTTTTCCAACGCAATACCCCTCTGGTGTACTGCTAGGATGTGTTTCAGTTCAAGTATGTATAAATTAGAATTTGGTTAGCAAAAAATTTTAAACCCAAATTTTTCAATTAATTAAGGATTGTTTACCACAAGAAGAATATCGAAAAAGTTATCCTGATGGAGAATCTGATTCGCCTTATGTTTTTATTTGTACAAACCCGCAGGAATTACCTATCAAATTTCCTATTAAAGGGCAACATAAAATTTGTGAGTTAAATATATCGAATTTTACAATTGCCTGTACTTATTGACCTATTTATAAAAATATTTCAGATAAACTAGATCAGAACATTCACACGGCTGCAGTTAAATCTTTGCAAAGGTTAGCTAAACTGAAATGTGATAACGAAATATAAAATTATTTAATGAATTCAAATTTAATTACTTTGAGATTAAATAAAAATATTAATTTATGAATAAATTTATTTTTCTTATGGTCTATCTTATTTTCTGAAAAGTGAAATTCATTAAACGTTTTTATAAAAAGAATGAAAAGCTGAATTTTAACAGCAATAATTTTTTTTTTTTTTATTAATACATTTTGTAATTAGAATGAGTAGGATCATTAAATATTTATATTTAGAAGATAAAATATTATGTCTTTTTATTAGCTCAAAAATACATTAAAATAATACGATTCAAATTTTAAAATGATGTGCGCAAAATTCATTTTCAGTCTCGATAAAAATTCAATATTTTGTAAAATCATATTTAGATATAGATTTAATAATAGTATTTTATAAAACAATTACTTTTTCAATTATTCATTTAGGAAAAAATCTTATATAATTCTATCTATTCGAATGTTTTTATTAGAAATATCAATATTTAATAATATATATATGTTGATATTTATAATTCAGAAAAATAAAAATAATAATGGTGAAAAAATATGTTTTGAACAATATGCATTGAATATTATTATTAATACAATTTCTGTGAGATCCATACTCCTTAATAAGTACATGATTTTCAATATTGAAAATTTTATTTATTTAGTCTGATCCAATTTCATTACTATTTAAAAATTTTAATGAAAAAAGTTTCATTCTATTCCATGAGCAAAAATCATTACTAAACCAGGATCTACCATTACATCTTCTGCCATATGTGCGTTATCGCAACTTAATACTAACACAGCTTGTTTCCCTAAAAAAATTTTAATTGGAGAATTTTAATTGAGAAATCAATTACATTTTATGAGCATGTATTTACAAACCTGGAATTCTTCTGCATACATAATTATCATATATTCTTCTATTATTCTGACGAGTTTCTAAAGAGCTTAAACCTCGAGGCCATCTTCTTTCATGACAATTTTCCATTAAATCATCCAAAATATGTGGAGGACATCCTGATTCTGATAGAGCTCGTTTAATCATCATCTATAATATGAGAAAAACAAGAGATATAAAATTTTAAATGATAAATAAATACTTTACTTGTAAAGCATCATCTGGCGTTGATATCATACCACCCCAACGAGTAACCCGCGCTCGAGCTAATGTGCTACTCCATCTAATTACTTCATCACGTTCCATTTGATCAGCTATAGCTCGCATTGCTGGATTTGATACTCTCATCGCTCTCATAAAATCTTTGAATAATTGCAATTCACGTTTTAATTCATTAATTGTTAAATTTTGATCGGCTATTTCTGTTTTTAATTCAGTTAATTTTTGTTGTTGAGTTGTTATCAATGTTTTTAATTCACGTACACAATTATGATCTTTAAATTCATCTTTAGGTATTACAAATCCACAACCTTTTTCACATGGTAATGGTCTTTTTGGATTATGTTCACAGTCATCTAAATGAGAATTAAGAGCGTCTAATTTTAATATTAAATTACATCCGTATATTGCATTATCGCATGATATTGATAAACGTGATAAAAGATTTCTTAAAATTCGAGGAACAGCACGTAAATTTGCCATAGTTAGAGTATTACGATCAACTGGACAGGTAGGCTGCCTTGATAACCATTCTGATATACATGCTTTACAAAATGCATGTTCACACATAGCAGCCTGCAAAAATATTTAAAAATTACATTCACATACTTTAAATTTTTTTGCAAAACAAGTCGAAAATTTAATTTTTATAAACTTTGTGATATAGTTTTACATAAAACTAATTTTGAAGTAAAAAACTTAAAATTCAATTAATTAATTATTGATTCTGTTGATTGAATTAATACAATAACATAAAATTTAAGCATGTAATTAATTGAAAACCTGTAGAGGTTCCTCTAAGACTCCAGAGCATATTGGGCATTGTAGTTCTTCATCGACTGTTCCTTGAAACCTATTTAAATCATATCCCATAATTTTTTGCAGTTATTCACAAATTAAAATATTTTAAAGTAATTTTAATTAATTCAAAATTTGCAAAATTTCTTTTTTTTTTTTTTCTTGCAATATAAAAGTTGATTGTAAAAAATTTACTTGACACTTGATAGATCAGAGATGTCAAATACAAAATGAAATATCAATGTTGCCTTTTTGTTTTTATTTTAATACATTAACTATACAGTAATTCAAACGTGACAATCGCGAATAGTCCGGAGCGTTTTTTTAACTGTTAAGTTTGGTCAACATAATTTTTCATTATGAAAATATTAAATATAAACGGTTAATGTGTCTCTTCCCGAGACCGTATTCAATTTTAACTCAGTTTTTTTTGAAATAACAAGCAATAAGGTTTTTTCCTCCTGAACAGTTTTTTTTTCACCAAAAAATTTTACATTTTTAATTTTTTAATTTATTCATATTTGTTTTGACTGCATTTTGATTGTTTTCTTATCATACCGTAATAGTTCTTAAAGATTTTTGTAAAAATGCCTTGTTGAATAATATTAAATATGTAATCTGACCGGGATTTGAACCTGAACCCTTGAAGAAGCGGTGCTATTTTCACCGAACCGTTCATCATTTTTAATGAATTAAACTCACATAATTAATCAACAATGGGATATTAAAAGGAGTAAAGAAATAGCAAAAGAATGGTCCCATAATTATTTCCCTTTATTATATAACTTTATGTCAGGCAGTTAAAATTTAATTCTGTCTCGTAAAGGTCTTTATGTATTCAGTCTATAGATTCTGCTAAGAAAAGCTTTAAATAAAAAATCAAATTGTTTCTAGCTCAACATTCTTTTATTTAAAAATTTTTTGAAAATTTTAACACAACGCTTTTCTTTTTCACATTTTGCTTTTTGAAGAATTACTTTTTTAAATTTGGACCATTCTTTGTTTGAAATGTTCGTAGTTGATAAGGTATTTTTTGATTGTTTCCTTCTTAAACTTTCATCAGTAAAAAATGTTTTTATTTCACTGATGGTTTTTATTTGATTAATTCGTTTTAATATTTCATCCATACAAGAATCCTCTTCAATCTTAATTGAGTTATCAGAACTTTTTACAATCTTCATTTTATGCTTTTCTTTTTTCTTCTTTGACTCTTTTGAAATGACGGAATTATTTGTTGGTGTTTCTTTTACACATAACAAGTTCTCATTATTTTGTGACTTAGTTTTCGAAACTTTATTTGATTTTATAAGTTTTTCTGTTGAACTTTTGCTTAAAGAATTTAAATTCTTTGGTTTTGAAACTACTTTTTTATTTCTGCTTTCAATATTATTTGTAATTACAATATCTTCTCTACATATTACTTCGCCAATATCAGTACAACTCTGATCAGTTATAATTGAATTAATATTATCAACCGGCTTTTGTTTCATAATCAGAGTTAATTTTTGGATATTATTTATTTCATCTTTTTTCCCAAAATTTTCTTCATTTAAACTTATCGTATCTTCAATATCACCAAGCCTTTTAGGAAATATAAAATCATCGAAATTATATTTTATATTGTTAGGTGGCAGATATTGAAGAAAATTTTTCAAATCAATGTATAGTTTTGAAGTGAACTTTAATATTAGATTTCCATCATACCAAATTTTAGACAAAACAGATAAAAATAATGACAGTGTCTCGAAAAAAAAATATTTTTGAAAGATTTTTACAAAATATGCAACAGCATTTTTACAGCAATTGGTGGCTCTATTTAAAACGTTGTAATAACCGATTATTCGTAATAGTACATAGTCTAAATTCGCTTTAGGTGGTAGCTCCAATGAAAATATTGATTCGGGTAGTAATCCAATAAAATTTTTCAACACATTTGGAAGATTAATTTTTTCTAATTTATTTAATGTTGCTTTTACTTTGCTCATATCCTGAAAGCCTTTGAAATGCTTAAAAGAATTTTTTCTCTTCATAATAAGTTTAGTACATAACAAAGCATTTTCATTAAAATTTATCTGGCATTCAAAGAAGTCTATAGCATCTTGAAGAATTTTTCTCAACTTTATTAAATCTAAAATATAAAAGTAATTCAATTTTTAATTAACCTAGCAGATTAAATTATTAATAATCTAATAGTGTGCTTCTAATACTATTTGAAAGTACACATACCGAATTTTATTCTTTTTACTGCAACAGTTTTTAAAGGAGGCATAGGCAATTCAATATTATTCCAGAGATATTCCATGATGAAAATGATAATATAAAATTTTGTACACAAATTAAAGCATGTTGTTTATATTGAATTCTAAACAAAAATGACATTAAGTAAAATTGTGAATGTTCGATAGCATCATATCTGACATTTAGATTTGTAAATATGTATGTGGCTACGCAACAGCTGATTTAATACTTTAATTGTCAATAGAAAAGAAAACAACGTCAGTGTCAAGTAAATTTTTTTCGATGTACCTATAATTTGAAGTTGGTTACATAAAACGAGTTTCAAATTCAATATAAAAGATATGGCCGGGATTGTTCGGGTTGCATTTGTAAAAGCAATTGGACCTAATTCAAAATTCTTAAACGTCCAAAATGCTTTACCAGCAGCATTGTCACAAAAGTGTAAAATTTCTGGAAAGACAATGAGGGGTTCAGTTAAAGTATCAAAACCAAAACCTTGGCCATATAAAGAAAAAGGTTACGGGCTTTTACAAGCAATGTTTGATAAAACTAGCAAAAGATTAGATGAAAATTCAAAAATTATTTGTGTTGAAGGACCAATTGCAGCAGGCAAAACACAATTTGCTAAAGAATTGGCTGATGAATTGGAAATGTTACATATGCAAGATGCAAACATGGATATGATATATATTAATCCTTATGGATACGATATGCGAAAATTAGATCCCCAACTCCCGGAATCAACCCGTAGTTTTGATGAGAAGAATTTTTGTGCTAATCCAAATCATCCACTAGTAGCTCAATTACAAATTAGAATGTATATGTTGAGATATTCGCGTTATATTGATGCTTTAGCACATGTTCTTTCAACCGGTCAAGGTGTTGTTATAGAAAGATCACCATTTTCAGATGTAGTTTTTGCTGAAACCTTATACAAACATGGCTATATTTCGAAAGGTGCGCGAAGTGTTTATCACGATATTCGACACAATACTATTAGCGAATTAATGAAACCACATTTGGTGATTTATCTTGATAATTCGGTTAGTGCTGTTAAGGAAAAAATTAAAGCACGCAATCTACCACATGAAGTTAATTCCAAAGTATTTACTGATGAATTTTTAAAAGATATGGAATTAAATTATAAATTAAATCATTTGAAAGAAATCAGCGTTCATGCAGAGTTGTTAGTCTACGATTGGTCAAATGGTGGTGAAACCGAGGTAAAATTAAATTATATCAAAAGTGATTATCAAGAAAGATTTAATTTTTTTTTTAGGTTGTAGTCGAAGATATTGAACGAATTGATTTTAATCAATTTGAAAAAGATCGTCATAATAAGAAAATGAAGGACTGGCGTTTACCATTAGAATGGGATTGGTGTGAACGTCGAATTAAATATGGCAATGATAAACATGTTTTAATGAATTACTTTAATATACCACGTTTCGATGTCCCAGAGTTATTACGTGATGCTGATTCTTCAAAAAAATTCAAAGATGTATGGTTTAGTGCTCCGGGAATGAAGTATATTTACGGATATAACGAAGATATGGGAGATACTGGTCTTTTAACAAAAACAAAGATAGACACAAGATATGGAATGTAAAATTTCTGTATGTTTTCATATTTGTTTTATCTAATTAAATAATTTATAACTTTCGTTAAATAAAATGAAAGTCCGAAAAGTAATATGCTTAGATATTATATTTTCTATTCAATATTCGCAAGGGATTTTTCAAATTCATCAATGTTAGTATCAATTTGTTCAAAGAAATAACTGATTTCATTTACTGGATTTGTCTTATTAGATAAATCTTGATTATTATAAGAAATTTCAATAATCGACATATCATCTAATGAAAATGATTTGGTTAAACAATTTTTGCTAAGACTATCATTTTTCCTCATGATTTTTGTAGGTAAAATATGTAAATCATCCTTGCTCATATTATGAGAATAATCAAAATTTATTTTTTCGTAAATAAGATTGTTTCTATTGTAATTCTGCAAAGCATGTTGTTTATCATATGGGTGAGAGATAATATTTTTAATTATGTCGGATATATCATTTTCGCCGTAAGAACATTCATATTCTAAATCCATTAACGATAATTTTTTTTTCGGTGTAGAACAATTAATACTATTCGAGTTTTTACTTTCAAGTGGGTCCGATACGCTGGTTTTATGAAAAAATTTGTCAATTAACTGAAGTCCTTTTCGTTTATTAGTGGTACGTTTTGTTTTAAATTTAATCTGGTCTGTAATTTCAGCCAATTGGCTCATATCCATTAGATTTTTATCTGCGTTTTTCTTTTTCCGATTTACTCGAGTGGTTGGCGGTTTTTTTGGTTTTTCTTTTGATTTTAAAAAAACATCTATAATTTCCGGATACACGGTACTTAATAAATCTGCAGGTTCTATAGTTGTCCATACTGCTTGCATTCCTTGAGGATTTTCAACACAATATGATAAAATTTGATCTTCGGGTATAAGACCTTCAAATAATTGTTGTATATCTTTCCAAACAATTTCATAACCTGGTTGACCTGCAATTACATATACATAGAAATAATTTTTACTTTAAACTACTACATATCAATAATGTTTCAAACCTTTAATAACCCGTTTTTTGACTATAAAATCGGGTAATAATATTTGATCCTTGAATTCAGAATTCTTTTTCATTTCTTGTATTTGCCAACGTGTTAGAATAGGTAAAAACTTTTGAAAACAGTATATTTCAGTCCATTGTAATAATTTTCCTGAAGTTTTTATAAATTTTATTAAATTTGGTTTACACCATTTTAAATTTAAATTAGGAATAACGTTAGGTGTTGACAAAAACTCATTTATTATTTCAAGTGATGGAAAATCAGGATATTGTAATGCTTTCTGTCTCAATGTTAATTCCGCTTTAATAATTAATTTCTCTTCCCTAAAAATTTAAAAATGATTTTTATAAACGTAATAAAAAAAAGCTGTTTAATTTTTATTCATACATAAGCAAAATTGTTAAACTTACTTCCAATTCGTTTCCCTACATCCTTTTAAAGTCATACAAATTGAACACCCACTTTTTGAATGTGTAATTGTTTTACCTATATGACCACAATTTGAGCATATATTTTTATCATTTACTCTAATTTCCATTTCCGAATAGCTTGTATTATTAAAACGCCACGATTTTATTCTAAATAAAAATTAACAATAATTAATATAATTTATTTATATGAAAATGATAAAGTTAAAACCTATCCAGTACTTCACGATTTGGATATTTTTTGAACAGTTTTAGTACAGAATATTTTCCAACACCGTTTATTCCATCAGTATAATCGCAGCCACAGAATAACGCCATTGCAATAACTTTTTCTTGTCCAAAATCTAGAGATTTTTGTCTTTGTAATTTGATAGTTAGGGATTTCAAAATGAAAAAAGTAATATTCACCAATTTTAGAACATATTATTTCCATATCATAAATATCAACAGATCCCCCTTGAGTTGAAGTAGCTCCTTGAGTAGAGACCGAAAAATTTCTGTATACTTTTGTGGCCCCATATGCAAAACAATCCGAATCTTGACTAATAATACCTTCAACTAACTTAATATATTACAATTAATTTAATTAAATTAAAGTACAAATGAAATCTATAATTTTCTTACACCCTTTTTATTTAAAAATGCTGCGTATGCTTCAGCTTCCCCAGGTGCTTGAACGCAAACTATACCCATACAATTTAAAAGGGATTCACAATTTTTTAAGACATAATTAAATTGAGTTCTTCCTTTAAATTCGTCGTTTCTTGTATTTCTTTTTCGATTTTCTAAGTTTTCGTTTTTATCTTTTGGCTTAACTCCACGAAATTGAATTTCATTTCTTTGTTTCATAGCCTTGGCTTTAAGTTCGGGTGCCTTTCCTTCAAGTATAAAAACAGGAATTATATCCTCCAATAACATATAACATGTACGAAAAAATAGGTTCCTAAAATCATTAAAAAATTAATTGAAATTTTGTTATTACATTTTAATATGTACATATTTTTAAATTTTGAATATAAAATTTACTTTAAATAATGTTTAGGATGTATAAAATAGTCCACGACATTTAAACTCTCACATACCCATCCTGCAAGATCTATTGCAACAATTTTACCACGTAAAACACTAATTGGTTTTCTTTCACAATATGGTGTTAATAATGGCCACAATTCCTTAATTCCCATATTTAATTTATTAACTTATTTGGATTGCCTCTTGATTCTGGTGTTTGAACTAGTTTAATATGCATTTAAAAACAAAATAATAAATGAAAACGAACATAAACTGCAACATTTAAACAATTTTCCTTTTTAACTTTGAGAGTCACTGAATATTAATTTTAATTGCTATGGCAGCATTGTTGTTTTGTGAAAAATGTCAAATCAATAAAACAGTAACTCACGTGAAGTTTTGTTTGTTTGTATACATTACATTTATTATTTATTAAAACTTATTAAACCGAAATTTCTATACCTAAATATAAACCTGTAAAAGTAATCTTTATGCAAGTGCATACTACTGCTCCATTTGTTGTCTAGGAGAATTGAATAAAAACCATTTATGAAATTCGTTAATAAATAAATCAGAGCAAAACATGGTTCGTTTAAAAAATAGGTAAAGAAATATTTTTAAACATAACCAAACAACTTATGTGGAATTAAAAGTATACTTTTTGTAGGTATATAGTTGGAAAAATTATTCCTGAGAAAGATGAGAAATCAGTTTCATTTAATGAAAATTTAATTACACAAAATGTATTAAGTCAAGTAGAAAAAAATTATGGAATCTTTGGAAAATCAGCATTAGAAAATGGTTTCAGAATTAAATATTGTAATGATGAAACAAGAATAGTTATAATAAGATGTAGACATGGTCCACATAGATTTGTTACAAGTATTCTACCATTAATGTTGGTGGTATGTGTACAATTTTAAAAACTGGCATTGGCTATTATTTTAATTAAGCAAAGTTATGGTTTACTTAAGTTATCTTATTTTAGTTTGGAAATCATCGAGCAAAATTTAGTATACTTTATATTGGAGCAACAATAATGCAATGTAACAAGTTTATTATTAAATATCAAAGGAATTATTTGAATCAAGTTGTTAGTGAAATAAAATCTGCAAAAGAGAGACAAGATTTTATTGATAATGTTATGGATTTTGATTTGGAATAATAATATTGTTTTTAAATATAAAAATTAATATTGTTTAGATTTAGTATAAATAAATATGTATTAGAAAATAAAAATGTACAATAAGAAATAGAAGTAATTATAAGTTTTCTAAATGCTTTTCGTCTTGTAACCCAGGGAAACGAAAATGAGAATTGTTATTAGTTAATTCGATTATCGATTACAAATTGTTATTAAAAATAGAGCACATGGACTTATTTTACGTCATACCACCCAACCTGTTGATTAAAAACATATGATAATTTATTTTTGTTATCAATTTTGATATTTTTACATCTGATTTTGACGTTCGAAAAAAAATTTATGTTCGTGTTGTGCAACGAAATTTTTATTGAAATTGAAACATGACCAAAACAATTAATATTAATTAATTAATTTTCGATATTTTTATAAATAGGGTTTTTGCGTGTCGAAAAGTTATGTATTTGTATTATATTGGTTGCTCTTATTTTTGTTAATAAAAAGTAGTTTAAAAATTTGTTTTTTTTTTAATAAAGCAAACTCATCACAAAATTGGTATACCTCAACAACAGGTAAAAGTTTTCTAATAAATTTTTTAACATCATTTTTTTATTGAAATTGGAAATTCATGGCTAAATAAATAAATTTCTATAATTAAATATTAATAAAAAATCAAATTGGCATACGTATTACGTTTGATCGATAAATATTTCATAATTCTTTCTTTTATAATAAAATGCCCGCAATTTTTAGTAACATGATTAGTTTTCTAGATTATAAAAATGACAACGGTCGAGCGCAGAAATAAAAAGAATGAAATTAGATGGCTCCCAATAAATATATTAGAATCAAAAAATTTGTTTAATTATGCAATTATAATTTTGAATACTGAATTAAAAGTTCCACCAGAAATAACAAGAAGTCTTTGGAATAATGGTAAAATAATATTGTTTAGTAACAATTTAATTACATATATGAATGTAAATTTTCTATTTATGTTTGTAGCTAAAGTACGGATCACTGTTGATGGTGGAACAAACAGGTGGCTATATTTTCTTAAAAATTTCTGTCAAGATATAGAAATGAAACCGCCAGATTTTATTACTGGAGATTTTGATTCAGTTGAAAAAGATACATTGGATTTTTTTTACAATAGTTTAAAAATGCACACACCAAATCAAAATGAAACAGATTTTACAAAAAGTTTACGGGTATTACAAAAAGAAACGGATGGCGTAAGTACTTAAAATAATTCAAAATAAGATAGCGTGACAAATAATAATATTTTTATGCGGCAAAAAAAAAAAATTTTTTTTTTGTTTTATAAATTCTGTTATGATTTCATATTATTTTATTGTTATTAACCTAAAAATAATTTTAATTTATTCTAGGTACCTGATATAATAGTAATACAGGAAAATGCTGGTCGTTTTGATCAAATTATGGCTAATTTAAATACATTATTCAAAGCTAAAGAAATCCTGCCATCAAAAGTATTTTTATTGAGTAGTAACTCATTGTCATGGCTTTTAAAACCTGGAAAACATTCCATTGAAATACCGGCGGATTTAGTATCGGGACAACGTTGGTGTTGCTTGATTCCAATTAAAAACCAATGTACAGTAACTACTGATGGTTTAAAATGGAATTTAGGTAATATTAAATTTAAATGTTCATTCAGTTTTGTAGGACATTGAATTCTATAAAAAAAAAAATCCATTTCCAGAAAATAGCTTAACACAATTCGGAGGAATGGTTAGTACTTCAAATACTTATGCAAGAGACTTAGTAGAAGTGAATACAGACGAAACTATTTTATGGTCAATGGGTGTTTATAGCTTTTTAGATTAACTCTTTTATAGTAAAAACGTAAAATATATTTAATAATTTATGAGATACTTAAATAGTTACATTAAAAAAATTATAAACATGTATATTGGGATGTATTTATATGTATACACTTTAATATTCAGCTTTTCATTATTTTGGCAGGTATTGGTAAAAATTGAAAATTCCGACTTCTGCTTGTAGAAGCTGAAATATTACAAGAATAAAGCATTTATTATTTTTTTGAATAAGAGAATATTTTGAAAAATTATTATTTACCAGTAGAATTTGTATTCTTTGATTTGGTAGTGTTTGATTTAGGTTTGTAATTTCTAGTTGGGGCCGAAGTCGAAGTGCTTGTGGAGTTTGCAAATTGTTTCTTTATGGCTTTCTTTTTGGGACTGTACTTTTTTCTTCCTCGATATCTTTTTGCAACTGCAGCACCGCCCCAACCCCGTCTCCGTTTTGTTCCACGAGATTCCGAAGTTTGCGATGAATTAATACCTAAGGCATCCCAGTCAGTTCCGTCATCATAATCGTTATCAAAATTAGTGCTATTAATATTAGGTGTACGCTTAGCACTTTCTTGTTCTTCTAACTCAATCAAAATACAAATTTTTTCTGCTGCATATTTTGTAGTTATTTCAAGTAATTTGGCTCCATATTTATCAAAGTTTGCTTTAGTAACATGTTGAATTGATAGCATATCCTTCTCTGATTCAGGTAACAATTCTGACATAGCTTTCAATGCTTGCATATTCATCACACTAGCAATATTAATATTTTTTTGAGCAGCAATTTCTCGACACAATTCCAGTAATTCATAATAACATTTTTCGTAAATTTCTTTAAGTTGAGGATGATTTTTGATACTGGCATTAGTTTTTGAAGAAGATTCTGGTTTAGATGAGCTTGGTTTATCTTTTGTTATATCGAGTTTTTTCTTATTTGATTTGATAACGAAATCAACTTGCACTTGATTGTTCATGAGTTTTCCGATTTTAGGACCAATTTTTATATATGACTGTGGTATGTCACGTATAAAAATCATATGTTCTTGTAAAAATTCGTCAATGGTCATTTGTCTCATTAATCTTTGGATATCAAGCTTTTCCCAATTTTTAAAATGACCCCAGTACGATAATTTATCATGATGATTGTCTACAATTTTTTTAATTTGCGATCCTTTCAATACGTCCGCTAAAAATTTTATAAATACATGTAACAAATAGAAAAATTTGCATTGAAATTTTAAATACCTATGTGAAGTAATGTAAATGACCCTTTTGAACAAATATCCTTAACTGCCTTGGCTATAACCTTACAATGATCAGTAGCGTTTATTTTCTTCAAAAAATGAAAATTTAAAGAGAATATTAACCTTTGTAATATAGCACAACATAGTTCAAAATTATTTTTATATATTATACCTGATATTCTCCTTTATTTAAACAATTATCACAAGCCGTTTCAATATTTTCAAGACATTGCTCACTGGTAAAATATTCTGCAAAATATTCTAATTGTTGACTTCTCCTACAATCTGTTATATTTTCACAATAACCAACTATTCTTTTTAAATTTTGATGATGAATTTGTTTTGTTTCGTAGTTAACATTTCGTTCACCTGAAAAAAACAAATAAATAGAAAATCAGAAATTCCAACATAAAACACTATTTGTAACGCACCGTCAATCATTTTCTTAAATCTTTGCATGTCACAATAATTATAATATAAAATGCAATGTGATAATTCTCCATCTCGTCCAGCTCTTCCTGATTCCTGATAATAACCCTCAATTGACTTGGGAATACTATAATGGAGAACATATCGTACATCCGGTTTATCTATTCCCATTCCAAAAGCAATAGTAGCGCATATAACTTTAAATTTATTTGTGATCCAATCTTTTTGAATTGACTCACGTTGTGAATCAGTTAAACCAGCGTGATAACTTGACGCTTTAATACCTGATTTAAATAAAGTTGTGGCTACAGTATCACACTCCTTTCTTGATAAACAATAAATAATTCCAGTTTCGTGTGGAAATTTCATTTTTATCAATTTTATCATATCTTCTATAGTGGATGCTCCTTTTTTAGGAAGGACTGAATATTTAAGATTAACACGATTAAAGCTTGATAAGAACCATTTGCATTTCTTTAATCCTAATTGTTGTAAGATATCTAGACGTACTCTAGGTGTTGCGGTTGCTGTCAACGCCATAATTGGCACTGTAGGAAATCTTTGCCTGAGCACAGCTAATTTTTTGTAATCTGGTCGAAAATCATGACCCCATTGTGATACACAATGAGCTTCATCTACAACAAATCTGCTAATGAAATTCCTACTGTATAATTTGTCCAACATGTCCTAAACATAATATTGATTAAAGGTACTCAAAAGCGATAAATTATAGTATATACCTGAAATTTAGGTGAACTTGCAATTTTTTCTGGTGTCACATATAGCACCCTGATTTTTGGTGGAGACATTTCAAGGTCCACATAAACTCCTCTTGCTTCGTCCATAGTTTGATCTCCAGATAAGTTTTTTGCGTAAATCTGTATTAGAAAAAAATAAATTACTTTTATATTTAGCTAATATTTAATAATATTTTTACTAACATCCAGTGAGGAAAGTTTGTTAACTTGATCTAAAATTAAAGATTTTAAAGGGCTAATAACAATGGTTACACCTTCTGTTATCAATGCTGGTAATTGATAACACAGTGATTTGCCACCACCAGTTGGCATCAAAACAAAACAATCATTATTTAAAAGTGCTGCATTTATTACTTGCAATTGATTAGGACGAAAACTTTTAAGACCAAAATAAAATGAAAATGCATCTTTAAGCCGTTCTGAAAATTCATAGTTGAGACCGTCGAATTCTCCTGTGATTCCATCGTTTTGTACGTTTGAATGGAAATTTCCAGTAACCTTTTGACAAATAGTGGACGTTGCACTAGGATTAACTTTTTTGGAGGAAGTGGGTAGAATTTTAGATATGACGGGTTCTGTAAAATCATCAATATTATACTGTTGCCATCCGTCCTCATCTGTTGGAACTTGGCTTTCAATTTCAACTATACTTTGAGATGTATCGTTAATATTAGAACTTGCAAACGAAATTCTTGGTTTCAGTGACTGATATTTTGTGTTAGAATTTTCTTGATCCAAAGCACCATAGTATAAATCATTATAATCTGATTTTTTACCCTTGAGACTTAATTCTTCATCACGTACATTATTCAAAATGTATTCGATGTCGTCATTCTCATCATTACCGTTGTAGGTTTTTCTTTTAGAATTTATCGTTGAGTTGTTTTTGTTGTATTCTTCCTCGTCACTGATATCCAATATAGTGCTATTGACAACTTTATTGAAGTTTTTTAATGTTTGAAAGTTGCTTGGGCTTTGTACTTTTGTCGCTTCATTAATATAATTATTAGGATTAAAATGTATTTGAGTATTACTTTTTAAATTAGATTCTTTATTTGAGTTAAACTTTTCAATTAGGCCAAGTTGTTCATCATACGAAGGAATATCATTTTGATGAATAGAATTTGTGTTAATTGAAGGTTTTGAGAAAACATTAGTATTAATTTTATTGTGACTTTCTGTGTTCTTAATTTCCGCATAAATTTCCTGCTCTTCTTCATAAGATGGAATATCACATTGCATTTGTTCTTCTCTATTTCTTTCCACTCTCGATATTTGATTTTGAGTTAGTTTAGTTTTTGCACGGAATTTTTGCTTCAGAACTTTAAGTTTCAAGAAAATGTTCGTTTCGAAGCCACTTATTTGTTTGAAAAATTCAGATGGAATTTGATCGATAATAGAACAATATTTTTCGAGAAGAGATGTATAATTATTTTGAAAAAATTTCAATTGTTTTTTAAGAACAGTTACTTCAGTCTAAAATAAATAAAAATTTTATGTAAAAGTAAATTACTATTTCTATTAACTTTACCTCATTTTTATTTGTATATTCATCAGATTTAATTAAATCACACATAAAATCATTTAACTTTTCATCAAATTTAACTGATATTTTCGAGTCAATATTTTTGGTATCCTTTAAAAGTGGATCAGGTTCAGAAATTGCTTGTGAAGAATGGCTTTCGGATCTATCTGGCGTCGACGCGATATTATTTTTGTTAACGGTATACTTCTCATTTGGTTTATCACATAAGTTGTTTTGCGAGAACTTTTCTTCATTTGATTTAGGTGATTGTATCAAGTCTTCAGTGAGTATTGGACAATTTTTGCCTAAAGATGTAATAACTGTTTTCGTATTGTTTTCTTTATTTAGTTTGTTCTTATTATTTTTTGTACTATCATTCTCATCAATTTTGTTGTAAATATTTTTTGGTTTATTTTGATTAATACTCCTTAATAACGAAGGTGTGCTTGATTTTATTGATTTGATTGAATTTAAAGAATCACTTAAGGAAATTGTAGATATTTCAGTAATAGTTGGTGAATTATAATTTTTGTTAATTGTTTCTGTTCTTAAATTTGACTTTTTTTCTTCATAATCAGATGTACAATTTTTAAGAGAATTTTCTAAAAATAATGATGATTCCAAAAATGAATTTTTTTGAGGGCTAGCATTAAAATCTTGAATTTTTTTCAAATTTTCTTCGAGTTTTGATAATTCTGATTGATATTTTTTATCCTGATTTAATATATTATCTATGTTAATTGATAAATCATTTTCATCTAATTTAGATTTGCTTATTGGCGAATTAGTAATATCAAATTCCTTGGTTTTTAATATCTTAGACGGGGGACTTTGTTTTTTATTAGGAGGAGGTACTGCAAAATCTTCATAATCATCATCTTCTGAGTCTGTTGAATCTAAATATATTACACTCGACTAAAAACAAAGCAAAATAAGCTTTTATATTAAAAAGGCATAGATTATAGTAACCAGTGTGTAAATTTTAGCTTTTTCTTACCGACTTCTTCCGTTTTATTTTGTTAGTTTTATCACTATTTGTTAAGTTTTTATTTAAACTGCAAAACATTTAAAAAAGTGTTATTTTGAATATTCATGTTTTTTTTTATAGCAACTTACTTTTCTTCTTCTTTACTTTTTGGAAAGAACCCAAGAAGTGAAGATTGTTTTTTTTGCGATGGTCGTAAGGACATCTCGGCTCCAAAATTATATAATTCTAAATTACACTATTTTATGTTTTAAATTACTTAACTTTTTATAAGAATATGACCTATTTATATTATAACAATTACAATAATCTATAATAATTTGATTTAAAGTTTCAATGAAATTTGTAAACAAAAAACAAATACCTCAACCTTACCGCCACTATACAATCTGTCAAATATCAAAAATTTTTTAATAGTACAATTTATTTTTAATAGTACAATGTTAGTACTTTTTAAAATGGCATTCCCACAATAATTGCTACATTATTTTTTCAACATTTTATACTGGTTACAATGTTACATCATCAAAATGGGAAGACGTTGGTTTTGTTAATATTGTCAAAGAAAAATAAGTGTCAAATCTAATAAAATCGAAAAGAAAAAGAGAAAGTGAAAACAAATAATTCATAACGAAAATCAGAAATATTCTAATTCCGTACGATCTAGCAAATTAATTTTTTGAATAATTACACCTACGTAACGGCAAAAGTCATAATTTAGCAATCAAAACATTTTATTACAAATTTGAAAATTTTGGTCTGACAGTTTTCAACTGTCTGGGTTTCAATGTCCGGGTATACGGGCAAAATTATTATTTTAATAAATATCGAATAAAAATTTGATTTCACTAAACATACACAAAAAAAATAATTAATGATAAATAATATTAAATAAAAAAAAATAAATACGTCTTCGAAGTTATTAAAAATTAACGGCCTGATCGTGTATCTCGTTTTTTTCCCCATGTTTTGTTCACTTTCGAATCAAAATTCTAACTCTAATGGATATTTAACTTTTTCAATAAGATTACTTATTTTTTTAATTGAACTTTTGCATTTTTTCTTAAATTATCGATTGAACTGTCTCAGTTTCAAAAACAAAGTGAATAAATTTTGTATGCATTCTAGAAAAAAATGATATACGCAATGCCGAATAATTCTTCTCACTCGAAAGTTACATTATACAAATATATGATAGTTACTCACTTTCTTCTCACTTTCTGAGTAAAATAGCGAGAGAGACGATAAGGCCCTTAATATTAAATGGAATGACTTAAATAAAAAATGGTATATTATCTTGTATGTAGAATAAATGCAAAATTTAATGGTATCTACTTAAATTATTTTACAGTAGTTAAGCCCTGTTACTACCTGTCAAATGAATTTTATCTCATTAACTTTCAAAGTCATATGAATCAGTTACGTCATTTGACAATAATAGAGAAAATTGAAAATTTTGTTTCTCTTTTTTTTATATTACACATGCATTATAAGATCGCGATATATTTCGCTTTTCAGAAACATATCATTGTAAATTAAAAAAAAATTCAATGCCAAGATAATCAAAAAGTAGTATATCATCATAATATAGTACATATAGTCTTCAATTGGACGTCGCAATATTGAGTCTTTATTTTTTATGTACGTGTTTCAATAAGTATTAAAGATGTATTCAAGTCTTACGAAAATTAGTGGTCTAATACGATATGGTAAAATTGCTAAAAATGTATTTGGTAACTCATTGGAATATATAAATTCAACAAGGTGTTTATCAATTGGACTACCTCAATTAAATAAGGCTGCAGAGTAAGTAAACAATATTCCTATTTACATATTTCAAAATTGGTCTTCAGAATTTAAAAAAAATAAAAATAATTCAATAAAATTTGTTAGTAAGATTTATGAATGACCAAATTTTTGATAAATTTGTGCATATACCCAATTAAAATTTTATTAAAAATTAATAATACTTAAGTAATATAATTACATAGTCACAAATTAGTTCCTTAATGATATCATATATACATACATATAATGTTATGTAGATGTGCACATGTGGATGTAGTATGTATGTAGTAGGTACCTTTGTACTTATCTTCTATCTTATATAATTTTTTGGATGTTATGCTTTCTAAATATGATTTAATCATTGCCTTTTATTAATATTTTATTTTTAGGTAAATTCATACCTTGAATACTAAAATGCTGATTTATCTAATTGTATAGGTATACTCCTATTTATACGAATTTGTTGAATAAGTGGAATAATTACATTCATTTTAATTTGAATTATATTTTTTGAAATGATGAAAAAACAAAAAGTTAAAAGTCATTTTTTATTTTCAGTCAAAGCTTTTCGAGATAAATTATAATTTAAATTCTATCTTCCTATTTGAATGTGTACATTTCAAGCATAAAATCTCGTTTTATTATTTCAATTCAGGCTAAACAATGTTTAAATCTCCAAAGAAAAAAAAGCTTTTTCTATTGTTTTGATATTTGGTGATCTTTATTTAATTTTAACAATTTTGCATTATTTAATATTTGTTTTATCATTAATTTTATGTTTTAAAATTTTAGCATTGAAGTTACTTTTGTACGTGCAAGTGGAGAACGTATTAAAGCGAAAGGAAAAGAAGGAGACTCTTTATTGGATGTCGTTGTTAATAATAATTTAGATTTGGATGGTTTTGGTGCATGTGAAGGAACACTTACATGTTCGACTTGTCATCTTATATTTAAGAAAGCAGATTATGATAAATTACCTGATAAACCAGGAGATGAAGAATTAGATATGTTGGATTTAGCTTATGAATTAACTGATACTTCAAGATTAGGCTGTCAAATAAATTTAACAAAAGACATGAATGGTTTGGAAGTAAATGTACCAGCTACAGTAAATGATGCAAGAGAAACATAATATTTACTTTTAGTGTATAATATGAATAGGGTATATCAAATGAAATTATTAGAAAACAAATAAAACAAACCTATAGTTTAAAAAAATATATCCTGTTAAGTTTCAAAAATTGATTTATTTTTTTTCCAATAACTTAAGGTCTACATAATATACCGAAATATAAAAATTCTATAGTTCAATTATTAGATTATAAAATTGTTGTTTATATAGTTTTTTTTTAATAAATTAGATCTATGTAAATTTATTTTTATACGCATAAATGCAATTTTGAAACTAAATATAAAATTTTATAAAACTTCCTTATTTTTATTAAATTTTCAAGGTAATTCAAGGCCTTAGTATACGAACAATGTTATCAACAGACAACAAATAAATAGTTGCAATTTTGATTGATTATTTATCAATACTTATTAATAGTATTTTTCAATGTTTAAATTTATTCGAATTTTAAAAAAATTTTATTTTAATTTTTGTAAAGCATTAGGAAAACTTAAAAGGCGATATTTAAATGCATGCGTTTTTTTTCTATTGATATCAGAATACATATTGAAAATCGATTACTTCTATTGCAAAACGTTTCAGTAAGTAACTATTTTGCAGTTATCGTTATCTTGTTCTTATCTAACAAATAAGTTTGTATGTATTACAAAACACAAAATGTATGTAAATATTCATAACATCGTCAATAATATTATTAAAATCAATGTGATAAGATTGACAAACATATAAAAAGTTGTATATTTTTAGTCTATTTTAATTAAATAGGTCTGTTTTGATTAAGCTCATTCAAAGAAGAATATGCCTTGTGCTATTGTAATAATATGATTTAATAATATTATGTATTGGAATATATTTGTTTTGATATTGTAAATAAAATACCTTTTGTCGTTGAAACTTTTTGAGATATCTGAAAAACGCGAATTCAATAGCCTTGTATGGCGATATTACGTTTGTCTAAATTACAAATTTAGAATTGTTTAATACAAATAAATCGCAAGATTAAAAAACAAACGAATAAAATTAGTTTCAAATTTTTTTTAAGCAATAGCTAGAGTTTGCAAAACTTATTTCAGCATAATATTTTGAACCTATTAAAAATAAAATAACTTATTAATTTATTATGTTTTTATAATATACATTTAAAAAAAAAAAACAAATTTTGTTAAAAATATATTAAATCAAATATGTAAATTGCAAGTTCATTTCTACTATAAATTTCTTTCTAAATTATGTAAAGTATGAAATATTCTATGATTTTACATTTATGTGCAAAAGTTTTGCACTCGTTTTTCTTTTGCCAGCCCCAAATTCTTAAATAAATTACAATAAAATACATGTGTTGCTTTTTCAAATTTTAAGGCATCATTGTAATTATATCTAGAGTTTTTATCGCTGCTTAATTATCATTTTTATTGTAAGCCTTATTATCTTTTTATTATGTAAACTTTATTCGCTTATTCAAAATGAATCAATGTTTTGTGTATAAGAATGTAATTGGAATTTTGATCTATTGACTTTTTTTACCATAAAACGCTAAAAAAATTATTTTATTTATGTATTTTAGAAACAAACACTTAGATCTACTTACAAGAATCTGAATTTTATAGTGCAAATTTGAAAATAAAATCATCACTACGTTAAATTTTTTCATTTAAAAACTTCAGGGGCATAATGACTTATTTTTTCATCTAATTATTTAGAATAACCCTTATTAGTAATATATTTTATGTTTCGCTTCATATGTTCCAATCTGTAGAATTATGGGGACATGCAAAAACTTTACAGGAAAAGAGAATACAGAGATAAAATTATGTATAACGCTCCTCATAAAAATACGGTTTAAAGATGCAGAATGATTTTACTAACCAAAAACAAATACTTTCATATTTCTAATTAAAAAGCTCAAAAGATTCAATTTCAGAGGATCAAATTAGGAAATTAAAAGAAATTTCTGCCACGCAATAAAATATTGGATGGTTTATTTTGAAAGTGACTTAGAGTCTATTCAATACTCTTTTATTTTTATTTAATAACATTAATAATATTATTAATAATATTATTATAAAAATTAGATAATATTAATAATTGAAATATATATACATATATATATATTTACATATATTACATACTTACATATATTGTCGAATAGGAAACTAAATGTTTCATAAAGCAAATTACTAGTTAACCGAATTTTTGATTATTTTAAACTTAAAACAATATTACGAGTAGCTAGTTTTAATTGAAAAAGGTTTATGTCATTGTCAAAATAAACCATTCAGAATCTAAGTTAATTTGTTTTTTTTTTTTATAAATTTAAAGTTAATTTAAAGTTAATTTTAAATGAATGAATGAATTATATAGATACGTATTTAGTAAATGAAATATTAAAATAGAAATATGGTGATATTAAAATTAAAAACTTGTAAAATCTACTAATTATACCTTAAAATTCCTTGTTTAATTCAATTTACTTTCTCAATTTTCAAAATTAATTTTGAAATTTAATTAAACTATTCTTAGTTGTAAACTCGATCAACTACGAAATTTGGGTATGGCTTATGCTATGCTCTTAGCCCTATGCTCTCTTAGAAAAGAAAGTGAAGAAGAAAAAAAAAATACTAAGCTATACACATAAATTATATAATTTAATATTAAAAAATTTTAAACGTTCCCCATCCCTTTTATAACCTACTATTATATAATTACAAATTTATAATTTAATATTAATTAAATTGCTTTCATTGTTTTACTTATTATAAATAAAAAAAATTATAAAATTTTTTTAATTCAAATCATGTACACGCATAATAAAAATGATAAAGAATTTTAATTTTTCAGTAAGTAGGTAAATTGTACATATATAAATTTAAAAAAATAAAAAATAATGAGTACGTTAAATGAAAATAAATAAATAAATAATTGTATATTTAGTACAATATCAAAATTTAAATTACGCCATTACATACAATAACTATTGTCGTTTAACTGTACCTAAATATGTATATATTTTTGCGCATATTAAAAAAATACCGGTATGATGAATATTTTGTGATTTCATGCTTCTTTTTTTCTTTTATTTTTTTTGTTATTTTTAAGTGAAAGTGAAAACACGTTAATATTATAATGGTAAAAAAAAAATATATGGCAAAGTTCATACATACATACATAAATGACTCACAAGATGCAATAAATTTTGTCCGAAGAAAATGAATTCCATTTTATTTTTTTTAACTGCTATTGTTAAAATTTACTTACCTTTTTTTTATTTTTATAACCCACACGTATTTTTCTATTTGGCATGTTCAAAAAATCACTGTTATAATATTTCTTATTACGATTGTAATACGAAAATTTTTATGTTAAAAACGAAAGCTCAAATTGTGGTACTCATATATTATATATCAATGCATTACGATTGCCGCTAAGGATCTATTATAATCCGGTTTAAGTATGAGACATTCCTATATTATGACATTCCTACAAAGTCCAAACATCTGAATAATTTTATAGGCACGGCAGAAATTTGTATATTCCATAGTCATGAATGTATTATTAAGGCCATATATCATTTCGATTTTCTTACTTGAATGGGAACCTAAATTTTCTCCTAGAAGATACATACTTATATTGAGATCTTCCCAATCTCTTTAAAAAAATTTTCGTGTATACGATCATAATTTTGTAATTTCCAATTACATATTTTCCCAATCTAATAAATTTTTACATTGTGCTTCTTTGGGTTAAATCTCTGTGAGGAATATGTGGCTTGGCTCCGCAAAGTAGTTTCGACCCTAGAACAGAGAAATTTTGAGCATTATCATTAAATAATTAACTATATTATTAATAATATCTTAATTAAAAACAATTTACTTTGTTGAATAGAAGTATAATGTAAACGTTTCATCCAGAATCTGTTGCCGTAAATCTTTATTATCATTCTTTATTTTTATTAAAAAAAAAAAAACAAAATCTTTTAAAGTCAGAAATTATTTTTATATCGCATACATATTTACCTATTTAATTTTAGGAATAAATATCATAAATTTTTTTTTTTTTCACTCACTATATTTAATATTCATTTTGCGGATAGTGATTGAACTTAATAATACAATATTTTCATAATAGTATTGCCAGAGGAATATGGTAATATCGAAATACTGAATTTAGATAAGTGTGGTATGAGTATATACATATATACTGTATATACGTACATATAAATACGAATCGTTATTATTCATTGATTCACTTTTGTTTTCATAATAAAAAAAAATTTTTTATTCAAATTTGTTTTTCGCAATATTTTAAAAATCTTTTGTTATTTATTTCACCAAAAATTATTTATACATTCAGATTTGTACAATGTAAAGGTAAGATGTTTGTGTATATACATATATACATATATATAGAGTATAAAAGCTGTCTGACGTATACGTCATACAATGAAACTAAGTTTTATTATTTATTTTTTTTTGCCAAACATCCGGAACTAAACACTGAAAATTATATTTCGTGAAAAGAAAAGTGAACAAAAAAAAAATACAAAAAAAAAAAAATGTTACAGAAAATTTACATTTTTTTGGTTTTTGTGAATTTTTTTTTTCCATTAGGTTGGTGTACATGTATGACAGTATGATTCAACGTGAATTTTTGTGGGGAATTTCTTACCAGTGTTACACAACGATTGTAAATTTAATTTGTTTTGTGTTTTTATGTTTTTTTTTCTCCTTATTACATATTAAAATTTTGAACCTATAATGTACCTTTTTGTGTATATAATATTAGGTGTGTATACCGTGTGCACGTACTAATGTAGGGGAATAGAAATGTTGAAAAGATTGGTTTCAAATTAATAATAACGGTGGAATGAAATTTCTAAAATTTTCTTTGTCATAAATATTATACATCTGTGATATTTTTAGTTTTAAATATATAGTGTATGTATATATGTAAGTATAATGATGTATTGTGCATAAATTTTATACATATATTTATGCAAATTTAAGATTTTGAAAAGAGAGTTTATATATATTGTTTTTTCTTTATTTATCATATTTTTTTCGAATTATAATAGGTTAAGGTTTAAATTTGCGTCAAAAATATTGTAAATATTTATAAAATATTTCTTCAACATTAATTTTTTTTTTGGAATGTAAAAATAATTAATAAAGACTATTAAATAAATTGAAGTTTAAGATTTATCTATATTACGTAGGATTATGAAATTTAAATGGAAAATTTTATAATAAAATAAAAAAATTAAAAAATAATAGTGAATTTAAAGGTATGACTAACAATATTGTTATAAATGGTATATAGAGAAAATTTTGTTATATTTATTATAACAGGATGTAAGGATTTTTATGTATGTATATTTAAATTTTGATATTTTTCGAAATACTTATATAGTTTAATGCAATTT